CCTAGAGGCTGCACGCCTCTCGTGCAGCCGCTGGATGTCGCAGTCAACAAGAGCTTCAAAGCCGGTGTGCGTAGCGACTACGGCACCTGGTTCGAGGAGTTCGGCATCGACCTCAAAACAGCAGCAGGTGAACCCACTTCATGTTCCCGCTGCTTCGTTTAATGCTTCGTACACTAATCTGACCATTGTTAATGTTATTCATCGCTTTCTAAACGCCGATTTGTTGCCGTTGACCGCCACCGCTCCCTCTGCAGGAAATCTGAAAAAACCCCCAGCGGAGCTCATTCTCAAATGGATTGCACGGTCATGGGTGGCAGTTCCGGAGGAGCTCATACAGAATTCGTTCAAGACCTGTGGGATCTCAAACGCGTTGGATGGCTCCGAGGACAAGTTGGCTCTCCGTCACCTCCGCGAGAAGCCGGTCGTGGAATTCATGGACGACGTCCATGTTCAAGAGGGTGAGAGCGATTACGTGAACCCTCTGTATGACCGCATGATCGACGTCGACGAGGACTTCGCCGACGACGAGGAGCATGATGCCGCGTCGGCAGCAGAAGCCGATGGCGACATGGATGAAGCGGCAGCAGCAGCTCCAGTAGCCGAGGATGCCGACCTCTCTACAGCAGAGGCAGAGACAGCAGCAGAAGCACAACGAGCTGAAGACAGTGTGGAGTGGCCGGCTGAAGGCATTGCTGAAGAGGATGATAACAGCCACTGGTGGGATGAGCTGGCAGATGGGAGTGATGTTGAGGAGTGGCATGCTGGCGACGATGAAGATGATGACGAGGACGACTAGAGCACGTGGCAGAGGCAGTAGCAGCATGAGCTAGAGTAGTGGTAGCTTGTATTGTGGTCCCCTTATATAGCTCTAGGACATCCAAGCAGGCTTAGGTTGTTTAGCTAACCTCTAATTCCTGATTGTTTAGCGAAAATTCACTGGAATGTAGTGCCTCGTTTCGGGGGGGGGTGTTCAATTGTTTTCAACCTCAAAAGTAGGGTGGTAACTAGATCCAGTTCAATTAAACACCCATACCCGCTCAAGCCACCCATGGGAGCTTAATTCCGGCGGGTACTGTATCCGGGAGAATACGGTAACTCAGAAGGGTTCAGCATTCAGAAATTGGCAAGTCTGAAAAATCAGGATCGGCAAAAAAATAGGTCTGAAATTTCAGACAATCAGACTAAAATAGTCTGATAAAATCAGGCCTGCCTGATGGATCAGGGAATTTTTTTTGGAGAGGCCTGAAAAATCAGGAGACCAAGGTGGGGGAACCCTGAGCTATCAGGGTGCCTCTAAACGAATCTGAGGCCCTGCCTTGTACTCATGTCTTCTACTCATTATTCATTTCTGATAGTCCCCTCTACTATAGGATCCAGTAATGTATCACATCTACCAAGCCTACACAAATATATATAAATATGGAATTTGACACACCCCCTAGGCTTGGTAGTGGCATGGCAAGCCCACCCCATACGCAGCACCCCCACATCCTTGCACCCCCATGCAGGGCTCTCGCTAGGATTTTTCCCACCTCGGACGATCCGAGCCCCTTGAGAAATCACCCTGTAAAATCCGACTTCGTCAAGGAATTACCCTGATTCTTCAGGGTCCGCGTTCGAAAAGGCCTGATAGAGCGTGGGACGAGACACTGGGGTTGCGATTGGGAGAGCTTCGGGTTGGGAAATCCGCCACCACAGACGCACCTGTGAAGGAGCTAAATTTGGGCCAAGAGGGGCGGGGGGGAGAAGGGGGGTGGGGGGAAGGGCTGGGCCGATTTTGAGTGGCGTGAACAACTGTTCGTGGCTGCTCATTTTAAAACCTGCTGCTAAGTGACCATTGATCTGATAGTGCATGCGGAAATACAAGTGAAGTTCTAGCTCCTTGGCATCTTAGGGCGTGGCTCATTTCCCAAGAAACATTCGTTTGAATGCTTACCGCACTGAATCGTATAAAAAACGACAGCAACACACAGAAACGTATAGGGACCTTGGCAATATTCGAGTTTTAGCTATTCGATCCCTGCCGTTATACAACTTTCCCCAAGTTTGGGAAAGGGAAGGGTGGGGCTTAGGGGGAAAGGGAGGGCTGGGGACCTTGAGATATTCCCATACCTCCTGGAGGCTACCCTGGTGTCCGGTCCAGGTCCTCCCAAAATCCTACTGGACTCTACGGGTGAGTAGGAAAATCTCCCTGAGTTCGTCAGGGCTGGGATTGAAAAAGCCCTGTGAAACACAGGGTCGGTCGAGAAATAACCTTGGATTTACAGTCAAGTCAGGGTAATTACCCAGTTAACACGTGCCCTGTCCCCATGCCCTGCAGCAGCTGTGGCGTCGACTAGCCGGTTGACCCCTCGGCAATCGAGGTGGCGACGTCGACGGCGGGTCGCAGCGGCGGCGGCGGCGTCGGCGACTGCGGCGGGAATCTGTTTACCACCTCGCACGCCCTACAGCCAAGTCCCTGCAAGCCTTGATCCCTCATTCTGCCACAAACCCTGCCACTGCGGCGGGATGGAATTAAGGGGTGTGCTGGAAGCAGGGGACAGCTCAGGCTAGGAGGGGGGACAGCTCAGGCTAGGAGGGGGGACAGCTCAGGATAGGAGGGGGGACAGCTCAGGCTAGGAGGGGGGACAGCTCAGGCTAGGAGGGGGGATTGGAAGGGAAAGGAGGTGGAAAAGCAAGGGATTGGAGCGGGGACAAGGAAGGGATAGTGGTGGGTGGGGTAGAGTGGGAAAGGTAGGGATAGGATCTGAAAAAGTAATGGAAAGGAGAGGGAGAAGGAAAAGATAGTAACGGGGAATGGCCAGGGCGCGGAAAAGGGTAGAGGCGCGTGAAACGTATGGGATACGGGGAAGCGGGGTTGCGGGGAAGCGGGGACGCGAGAGCATGGGGAACCGAGAAAGCGGGAAAGCGGGAAGGGAGCAGAAGCAGGACGAGGGTAGCGGGGCGAAGGCCGGGAAGGGAGGGACTGGCTTGGTTAAAGGAACCAGGCAGGAACCTGTCTGATCTCACCTTCCCCCTCCAACCAGAGCACACCTTCCCCCCTGTCTGAACCCACCTCCCCCCCAAACCAGAGCGGAACATTCCCCCCTCTCTGAGCTCACCTTCCCCCCCCCCAACCAGAGCTCATCTTTCCCCCTGTCTGAGCTCACCCCCCCTCCTCCCCCCCTCCCCCAAACAGGGCTCATCTTCCCCCCTGTCTGTGCCCACCTTACCCCCACACCAGGGCGGGACTTCCCCCCCTCTCTGGGCTCACCTTCCCCCCTCTCTGAGCTCACCTTCCCCCCTGTCTGTCGTCACCTTCCCCCCACACCGAGCGGGACTTCCCCCCTCTCTCAGCTCACCTTCCCCCCACCAACCAGGGCTCATCTTCCCCCCTGTCTGAACCCACCTCCCCCCCAAACCAGAGTGGGAATTGCCCCCCTCTCTGAGCTCACCTTCCCCCCAGTCTGTGGCCACCTTCCCCCCAGTCTGTGGCCACCTTCCCCCCTGTCTGTGGCCACCTTCCCCCCACACCAGCACGGGACTTCCCCCCTCTCTGGGCTCACATTCCCCCCCCCCAACGAGAGCTCACCTTCCCCCCACTCTGGGCACATGGAAACACGACATGCCATGCCAAGCCGTGCACCATGGCAGGGATATGCTAGGGGAAAGGCAGGGATGAGCGCAGCGGGAAGCAGGGAGTGGGACGCGCGTGGTGGGGGAGGGGAAAGCGTTTCGCGGGCTGCGGGTGGCGCGCAGAGGCAGCGGCGGGAAGCGACAAGCGGGCAGCGATGGGCGACGGCGCCGGAAACGGGCAGCAGATGCCTTTCCAGGCCGGGAGAACGTGGAAGCTAGGAAGCGGGAAAGCGGGGTCGCGGGGAAGCAGGTAGGCGGGAAAGCGGGGGAGCCGGAAAGAGGGGAAGCGGGGCCACGGGAAAGCGGGGAAACGGGGTCGCGGGAAACCGGGGAAGCTGGGACGCGGGATCGCCGAAACGCGGGGAAAGTGAGGAAGCGGGATAGCGGGGAAGCGGGAATACGGGGAAGCGGGAATACGGGGAAGCGGGAATACGGGGAAGCGGGAATACGGGGAAGCGGGAATACGGGGAAGCGGGAATACGGGGAAGCGGGAATACGGGGAAGCGGGAAAGCGGAGGGGAGAAGGTGTGGACCAGGGTAAGCAGGAACCCGAGAAAGCGGGATAGCGGGGAGGGGGAGGGGTGTGCAAAGCGGGATCGCGAGACAGCGGGACCGCGCCTAAGCTGGCCACGCTCAGCAGCAGCGGTGGGGGCTTTCTCTGCTATACCAGGCTATCTGCGGCGCACAATGGAATTGGCGGTTGGCGCTGTGTTTGGTAAATGGCGGGGTGGGAGCCATGGCGCGTGAGTACAGAATAAACACCAAGAAGCTTTAAATCTTGGTGTGGCAGGTCTGTCTTTGCTGCTGGGCGAGCTAGCTGCGTCGCAGGGCTGTCGCTTGGACAATCAGACCCCCCCCCTGCCAATTCCCCCCCCCCCATCGCCCCAATTGGGTTACCCAGTTTGTTCTGTGCGTCGGTTGGCTGGTTTCGCCGCTCGGCAGGTTCAAAACACTTCGAACCTTGAAGTTATTCTGTGCACTCGCTGCGGTGCAGGATCAGGATCGGGATCAGGATCAGCAAACGCAATAACGAAGCTGATCCCGGTGGGCAACATAAAACACCAGGATCAGCGTAGATGCGAGGCCACGTCATGTCGCACACGTCGAATGTGACTGGTCAACTATATACGCACTTGTACAGAAGACAACCATTGCTGGCTATAAAATTGCTGGCTATACGCACCTATACGCACCCTCTACAGGCCTGAGGGACGAGACATGGGCGCCGCAGGGCATCTGGCTGGCTCTGAAGCTGGCTGACTACGCGATCTGACGCGCATCAGTTCCGTTTCCCTTAGTGAGCATTGCCATTTCGACAACGAAGCCAAGGCACTTACGGTCCTCGGAGGTTCGATGCGTATGCGTGAAATTCTGTGGCCCGCAAATGACGTTTGGCAAGGCTGAAGTGAGCACATATGTAAGCATTCAGTAAGCCCCAATAAGACGTTATATTTTTGCTACGGGACAATAAATTATGCTAAGCCTATGCCGCTTCCGTTCCACAATGTGGAAGCTGCTGGATTCGGCGGCGAGAAGCAGCTACTCCAGTCTGAAAGTATATGACCGACATGACAAGGTATACCGAGTAATCGTTTACTTGACCGGAACGAGGACGTTATCGATCTCGTAGCAGATGGCAGTGGGGTCCTTGTAAAGGATCTTGGTGATGTTCGCAAGCTGGTAACCCTGCTGAGCGAATTGGGGGCCCAGAGTCACGGCGCCGGCCTTGACGGGCTGGTACTTCTGGATCTGCCTGTCCTTGCCGCTGAAAGTGACGTAACCCTGACCGACACCGTCCTTGGCCAGGCGCTGGGGCAGAGCCTGGAAGTTGAGCATGCCGAACTTGACCAGATCCTGGAGAGTGGTTGCTGACTTGGCATAGGGTTTCTGCGCGGGGAATTCAGAAAAACCGAGAAGAGTCAGTGAGAAGCGGAATTAGGCAATCCTGGGGGAAGCAGAGGGTTCAGCGAAGCCAATCGTAGGCTAGAACGAAGACAGCGGACCAGGACGGCGGGTTCATTGATTCAGGTAAGCGTACCAGGGTGGCGGGTTTGGCAGTCTTGAAGGCAGCGTTGGACGGAACGAGGCAGGTGAAGCCGGTGGTGGACGACGAGAGGTAGTCAGTGATCCACTTCTTCATGCCTGCGAGGAAAAAACAGGTATTTAAAAGTCGATGAAGATGCTTTCCGGGATCAAGCTCAAGCTATTTCAGAACGACCAGGAATGCGAAAGACAGGACTCGGCGTAATATCATCTGAACAATGGTAAGGAGTCTTACCTGCTTTGTTCACGATGGAGAGGTAAGTGCTGTGCTTCCCGCCCTTTTGAAGCGCCTGGGTGATGAGAGTCCACTGAAGGGTGCCGTCGCGGTAGACCTTAGCCTCCGCGGTGAAGCAGGCGCACGACAGAGCCAGGACGAGCAGAGCGATGGGAAGGAGGCGAGCCATTTCGACGGCAACTATGAGCACAAAAGCGAGCTTCTGCGAGAAAGGCGAGATGCGGAGAGAGCCAAAGCGAGCGATCAGGAAAGAGGCGAAACTGGAAACTCAAGTAGCTGAGAGAGAGTGATGTAAGGAGAATGTGTAAGAGACTGCGGCTCGCTGCTGAATGTGTGATTACGAGACTGAATTGGCGGTATTTCTACTCCCTCCAGAAACCAAATTCAATGGGGATGAGTTGAGTTGGTTTGGGTTGCGTGACTTTTTCCAGTGCGTCTCGGCATTCCCAAGGAGCGTCGGAGATTGGCGGTCGCGAGGCGAAACCCGAGCACGAAATCTTCGGGTCGCATTGCCTCTGCGATTCAGATTCAGTGTAGTCGCGCGCCATCTGATGCAACTGGGCTGCCTGAATTGCGACGTTCGCCATGCTGCATGTACTGTCGGTGTAGCAGTCGCGCGCCTGTTGAGACGAGCCGCCCTTGACGGCTCGATGGAATTCGGCCGTTTATGGGTCCATGACGCGCGCTTTTTCTGCTGTTGTGGCTCTGTCGCCCGCATCCTGTCCTGTTGGTAACAATATGCAAAATGCAGTTTAAAAATGATATAACATACGGTGCATACAGTCTCGACTTTCGCACAGCATATAGCCAATTTGTTGTTCATACAAGAAGTGCCTAGCCACAATAACCATACCCCAATTCGCCAGCACATGGGATAGGCAAATGCCCACATGTAGAGTTTATGTAGACTGAAATACTCTCTGGTCGCAACATGTACAGCACGCACCCCTATGCATCATGGTTAAGTAAGGTGCACAAGGCCTCCTAGACAAGTTTTGCCATCAAACCTACCTTAACCTTTCTATAGCTAGGCATACTGTTTTTTCAAGGAAGCAGTACATCCCAAATATTGAACATCAGTAAGACGAGCAGGTGAGCACAGAAGAGGCTGAACGAGAAGCAGAGGTGAGGCAGACGGCCAGGTGGACAAGGAGGGTGGCATGAGTGGTTACAGGGGTAACTGCCCGCACCACCCAATGGGTGTAGAGAGCACAGGCACAATGCCTAAGCAACAAGAAAGATGGCGAGTTGATTGCTTGGAGAAAGGAGAGGAGTGAGGAGAGGGGGTGGTTGGGGGGGGGGGGGGGGGAGGAACGAGGGAGGGGAGGGGAGGAGCATGTTGATGCACTGTGAGGGTGGACCGCTCAGAGTGCATAGTGGGCCAAGCCCTTTTTGAGGTTCTGTGGGTCAACAGAATACGTGAGTATCCTGCCGTCCTGCAGCCCCACTAGAATGCACTCCTCAGGCGCCACATACAGCGCTGTTACAGGCACGCCCTGTCCGTCAAACCGAATAATCTCCTCCAGAGTGAATATCGACCGCACGACCACCCCGCCAAACGAGCTCCCGCCTGTGACGAGGAAGTCCCCACACGCGGTCGTCGCCATGGCGCCGATACGCTCGCTCACGTCTGCCGAGGAAAGCCACTCGCCGTTGATTGAGGCGGAGTGGAGCGAGAGATCGGTCTCGGAGTAAGCCACGACGACCCCAGAGGTCGAGACCACGAGACTGTGGACCGGGCTGCCTCTAGTAGTCTGAGTGCTGCTGCTGCTGCTGCTTTTACTGCCTGAGGCGGAGATAGCGCGCGGAGAGCTGACGGGAGAAACGCCGAGAAGCCGCCCGCTTGCGCTGACGCTGAGGGACTTCTTGGGTGTGGTGCTGCCGGCAGTATTGGAAGGGAGGGAAGAGGAGGAGGAGGCGGAGGGGAGAGCGAGGGAGCGGAGGAAGCGGCCGCGGTGGAGAGTGTAGAGAATGATGGTGCCGTCTGTGGACCCGCTGACTACAAGATCCAGTTCTGACCGCACTGCAATGCACGTCACCGCGTCGTCGTGCCCGCACAGAACGAGACGAGGCTTGTCGTACACCACATGCTCCGGGCGGCTGCGCGCCGTGCGCTCGACTTCCCAAACCATGACGGTGGTGTCGGCACTGCCTGTCACGATCGATGTGCCTTGTGCTGATACTGTGGTGGTGGGGAGGGGAGGGGATTGGGAGGGAAGAGGGTGGGGTGCATTGGGAGGGAGGGGCGGTGGGTCGGCAGTAAGGTGCGTGCTGACACTGTGGTGGTGCTGAGTCAGGAAAGGGATAGGAAATGTGGGAGGCAGGAGTGAGATGAGAACCGTGGCGGTCGGGAGCCTGACGAGGCAGGCAACCATGAGTGCCCTAGCCGCTGCACGTACCAGCAAGGCAGGTAACCACGTCGTTGTGGGCACGGATGGTCCTGACCACCTTGCCATCAGAGAGTGACACGCAGCGGAAGCTGTTGTCCCAGTGCCCACAGGTGAGCAGGTACGAGGGCGCGGAGGTGGAGGGCGCCGTGGGCGGCTGCAGGATGTCAAAGCAGTTCGGTGTGGCCTCCACGCTGCTCGAGATGGGCGCACCGATGCGCCGCAGGAAGATGGAGTCGCCAAAGCCAATATACGGCTCCTGGTTGGGGAGAGAGAGTGGGGGGGAGAGAGTGCAGGGAGAGAAACGAGGATGGCAGATCCCGAGCAGGCACACAGAGAGGTGTGTCGGACACGCAAGCAGCAGGCACACAGAGAGGCGTGTCAGACATGCAAGCAGCAGGCACACAGAGAGGCGTGTCAGACATGCAAGCAGCAGGCACACAGAGAGGCGTGTCAGACACGCAAGCCGCAGGCACACAGAGAGGCGTGTCAGACACGCGAGCAGCAGACACACGTACCACAGATCCCGAGAATGTGAACGAGGCACCGGACTGGGTGTACGGCGAGATCCAGTAGCGCAGTGAGAGCAGCTGCCCCTTGGTGAGAGTGACGGCCTTCCCATCCACAAGCCCCACAAACACCACCGCCACATCCCCCTCCCCCGGCTGCCCCATGCCAGACGACAGCGACGCACCAGAACCCACCCCTGCTCCCCCCCCACTGGAAGACGCCGCCAGGGCAGAGGGGGAAGCAGCAGCAGAGGCGGAGGCGGAGGAGGAGGAGGAGGAGGTGAGGGCGGGGGGAGGGAGCTGTGATGTGAGTTCGAGGGAGGACGGGGAGAAGAGGAGAGGGCGCAGCACGGGGACCGGGGGTCCTCGACGCGGGTGCGGCTTGCGGAAGAGCTGCAGAGGCGTCTGGCCGAAGTTGGCGATCTGGTCCTCCACGGATGCGCGCTCAAAGGGGTTTGTGATCGCGTCCAGATCAACGGAGCCCTCGTAGGTGAGGTAGTAGAACACGTTGCCCGCCTGGGGGGGTGGGAGGGGGGGGAAGGGGAAGAGGGGGGGAGAGTTTGAGCCTGTTGTGACAAGAGCCAGTCGGTGATGGCACCCAGATTACCGGAGTCCTCGTAGGTGAGGTAGTAGAACACGTTGCCCGCCTGGGGGGAGGTGGGGAGGAGGGTTGAAGGTGGGGGGGGTTGGGAGGGGAAGAAGGGGAGAAGGAAGGGGGGGAGACGATGGGAGTGGTATTAAGAAAGAACAGTGGTTTGGGATCGACAAGAGATTCACCTCTGCCCATGGCGACAAGAGATTCACCTCTGCCGGGTGTTTTTGAGAATTCTCAAAAACACCCTGCAAAATCATGGCGACAAGAGATTCACCTCTGCCCATGGCGACAAGAACCAGCCGGTGATGGTCACGCTCTAGCAGCACTGGCCTCTATGGTCTCCTGTCACTGAACTGAATCCGTCCTAATGCCATGTGGGGAACCCAAGGCTTGAGCCCAGCAGCAGCACTCACGTCGATGGCCTCCTGGCCGCACTGCCTCAAGCCAAAGGTGAGATCCACCCACTCGTGCAGGCAACTAGATTCCGGACCCATTCCCCTCTCCCCTTTCCGCTTCCCCCTTTTCCCTGACCCACAGCCAGAATGAAAAGCACAGACCCACACCACACCACACCACACCACACAACACCACACCACACCACACAACACCACACCACACCACACCACCACGCCACACCACAGCAGCAGCAGCAGCACTCACGTCGATGGCCTCCTGGCCGCGCTGCCTGAAGCCGAAGATGAGGTCCACCCACTCGTGCAGCCGGCTGCTCACATACTCGCACTCCAGCGCCTCCCGGCTCCGCCGCACAAACGTCTCGGGGGAGCCCTGGCAGGGGGAAGGAGGCAGGGGAAGGGGCGAGAGAGCGGAGAGGGGGAGGGTTGAGGGAGCAGAGGGAGAGCGCGGAGAGGGGGAGAGGGCGGAGAGGGGGAGGGTTGAGGGAGGGGAGGGAGAGGAGCCGACTGCTCACATACTCGCACTCCAGGGCCTCCTGACTCCGCCGCACAAACATCTCCAGGGAGCCCTGCAGGTAGAGGAGGGAGTGGAAGAGGGCGAAAGTGGAGGGAGGGAGAGGGGGAGGAGGGAGGAGAAGAGGGCATGCGGTGACATGGCGAGGTTCACGTACTCACACTCGAGGGCCTCCCTGCTCCGTCACACAAACGTCTCTGGGGGGCCCTGGAGGGGAGAAAGAGCAGGAGTTGGAGGCAGGGTAGGAGGGGTCTTCCCCATCCCTCCCCCATTTTGCAGTTCTTGGAATCCTAACAGAACAGCTCTCGTCTCTCCTCTCCTTATCCCCCTGCACCCTTCCCCCTCCCCCTCCCCCCTCACCCCCCTCACTCCCCGTGCCCCCCGTGCCCCCCTCGCCCTCCTTGGCCCCCTCGCCCCCCTCGCCCCCCTCAACCCCCCCCCCACTCCACTCGTCTCTCTCCACGTCCCCTAGGCCCTGGCCGTCCTGCCTGACGCCGAGGAAATCTCCGTTCTTGTTGACGATGAACTCGGGGTGGCAGTAGAACTACGGGATGAGAGGGCGCCCTCAGGGCCCGCCGGGCCACACCTCGCACCCCTCGAGCCCTCTCACCACCTCGTCTTACACTCTTCTCTTCCCTATACCCAACCCCAACCCCCAACCCCATCCATACACCCAGCTGTGCTCCCCCCCCCCCCCCCCAACCCTCTCTCGTCCCACCTTGGCCCAGGGCGGCAGCACCACATCGCCCAGCCCCTGCCCGTCCTGCCTGACACCCAGGAAGTATCCGTTCTTGTTGACGAGGAACTCGGGGTGGTAGTAGAACTCTGGAATGAGCTCCTTCACATCGCTCGTGTTGGACAGGCAGTTGGCCCACGCCGACGCCACCGAGTGGAACAGGCGGTCCGCGTGGTCGAACTTGCCGCCCTGAGAGTGGTGGTGGTGGGGGGGGGGGGGGGAAGATAAAGAGGAGTAGGGAGGATTCCAAGGGGGGGGACAAAGTGGGAGAGGAGTAGTGACAAGAGGGGAGAGAGAGAGGTGAGGCAAGCGTATGGGCAGGCCCCCACCCACTCACTCAGGCAGAGCCAAGGCAGAGCCAAGTCGGAAGGGGCTCCTACACACACGCACCTGCAGCAAAATGGGACCAGGGGTGCCTGCAGGCAACCAGGCAGACCCAAGTCGGCCCAAGTCGGAAGGGGCTCCTTCCAAGTCAGACACACACGCACCTGCAGCGAAAAATCTTCGCCACCAGGATGGTCACCTTGCAGTGGGTTGAGTCGACTCAAGAATCGCCTTGCTGTGGGCAAATTCCTGAAAATCCAGGATGGTCGCCAAAGACATCGTCTTTGCCACCAGGATGGCGACCTACACATTCGCACCTGCAGCGAGCCGTTGAGCGTGGCCAAGGGCTCCAAGCGCAGGAGGAATAAGAGCACGATGCGACATTGGAGTCGACTCGGAAGTCACCCCAAAGGGACAGAGTCCAGACGCATCCACACCACACACACCTGCAGCGAGACGTTGAGCGTGGCAAAGGCTCCATGCGCAGGAGGAAGACGAGCACGATGCCCGCCGCACACACCCACACACACAGCGCCACACATGCAGGCACACACGCAGGCATGCACACACCTGCAGCGAGACGTTGAGCGTGGCAAAAGGCTCCATGCGCAGGAGGAAGAAGAGCACAATGCCCGCCGTGGAGTAGTGCGACCCGTAGAAGAAGGACGGGATATCCGGATCCGCAAACCCGTGGTACCGATCCTCAAACATCTGGCGGAGAGAAGAGGGGGGGGTGGAGGGAGGAGAGAGAGGGGGCGGGGCAGGCAGCATCCACAAGGGATTGGTGACTTCTTGATGCCTGCTGACCCCGTAGAAGAAGCTCGGGATGTCCGGGTCCGCAAAGCTGTGGTACCGCTCCTCAAACATCTGACCGTAGGGAAGGTAGGGGGGGGGGGGGAGGGGGTGGAGCAGGCAGCACACACAAGGGGTTGGAGAGCTCTTGATGCCTGCGGACCCTATGACGAGCAAATATGCTGCATAGAAGTCCTGGGGAAAAGTCCTAGTGGCGAGGAGACGGGGAGGCTTGGGAGGGAGGGGCGTGGGAGAGGGGTGGAACCTCCCAAGACTGCTCTCCTCTCCCCACACCTGGAACATCTTCCCCAGCTCTCCTCTTCTCTCACATGAAATCTCTCCCCTGTTCTCCTCCTCTCACCTAATTCTCTTCTCATCGAGGGCCCCAATGGGCTTCGACAGGTCCCAGTGTAGTTTGAGTCGACTCAAGATACACCTAGACTCGGAATAGCCTCTCCCCCTGCTTTCTTCTCACCTGGAATCTCTTCTCATCAAGGGCTCCAATGGGCTTTGATAGATCCCGGAACGTGTCCGGGTTGTTCAGGTCCAGCTCCTCCGAGGTATAATCCGCAACCACCCAGGGAAACACGGGGTACTGCATCAGGTCGTTGTACGACCGCCCTGCGAGCGTGTTCAGCACCATAAGATACTCAAAGTTGCACATCTCCCGCCGCCGCCATGCCGCCTTCGCCCTCTCAGCCAAATCCAACGCCCTCCGCTTGTCTACCAGTAACACCCCGTCCCAGATGCTACCGCCCACACCTGCCCCTCCACCCGCCCCCCCTGCCCCCCCACCCCCGGAGCTGCTCCTCTCGCGGTTCTCTCCCCTGTTGCGCTGGATGACGTGGGTCAGATTCGCTAGTCGTGTTGCCACATCCTTGGCATTGAGCGGCGAGGAGAAGTTGAGGAACACAGGGGCGTAGGACGACGAGAAGAAGATCTCAACAGCCGAGAACCGGAGAAGGTACCGCGTGATGTGAATTCGTTTGACTGCTCCCAGCGGCCACCGCCGGTGCCGCTTCACGTCATTGTGGAAGTCCACGTTCTTCTGATTACTGGTAACCAGCTGCTCAAGGAGTTTCCCCGAGGAGCTTCGAGGGGACAGCAGCGCGAGCTTGTTGTGTAACCGGCGCCACCGGGATGCGGTGCTGGGAGTCGCAGGGACTGACCCACTGCTGCTGCTGGTCGTGCTGCTGCCCCCTGTGATCATCCCCCCCGTTGGAGTGACAGGAGAAGTGCCCGCCCCGGACCCTCCGGACCCTATCCCTGTGACGGAGATAGAAAGGGGAGTCTCTGGAACTGCTGGTGCGGGCGCGGTGGACGCAGAGGAAGCAGAGGAAGAGGAGGAGGAGGAGGAGGAGGATGCGGGACCGGACACCCCAGTCGCTGTTGCGGCAGACGCAACAGCAGCGGCAGTGGTAGCCGCCGTATCGTGTCTCAGTTGCCCATTCTGATCGAACACAGACGCGCTGCCGTTGCCCTCGACAACGAACTCCGTGTGGAAGTGAACCACCGTTCGCATGATCTCCAGCCGCCCAGCGAGTTTCCGCTTCGCAGTCACCAGCACACAGGGCACCGACATCAGCACCACATCGTCCGCCGGCTCGTCTGTCGACATCTCATCCCCCAACCCTTCCTCGAACTTATTCACCTTGGGGGATCCCGCCTCTTCTTGCTCCCGCACCGCTGCTTCCTCCATCGCATCGTTCTCTACGTGAGCTTCCTCCTCCAACCCCACCCCTTCCAACTGCGCCTGCACGCCCCGCAGGCCTTTCAGCAGCAGCACTGCTTGTGCCGCTGCCGACGCGAAAGGCGATTTGACCGCGGACAGCGGCGAGTTCAGGTACCCCCCGCCGAGCGGCGAGAGCAGCATGGGCGACGCGGCCCCGCTGTTGGGCGACTTGAGGGAGGATGGAGACGCGAGGGCGGAGGACGAGGCAGAGGAGGCGGGGGTGCAGAGGACAGGGTTGAAGCGGTAGTTGGGGCGCAGGCGGAAGCGGCGGCGTATGGGGTCTTCCATCTTGTCGAGCTTCCAACGCGCAGGCGCGTCCGTGGGCAGGCGGCCGGGCGACCATGCTCCCCGCTCGTTGGTCAGGTCCCTGAATAGTTGGTTCCAGCGTCCCTGGGGAGTAGGCGGGAAGGACATAGAGAAAGCAGTGAGCGTGCGCCGTGCGCAGCAAAGAGAGATGCAACGGGGGAGGGGGAGGATTGGAAGGAGGCGGCTGGAGCTGCGGAAGCATCACATGGAGGAACATACCACGGAGCAGGAGCATGGAGCATGGAGGGAAAGGAGAGAATGGGAACAACTCCATGGAGCAGGAGCAAAAGGAGAAAGACTTTGCTAGGCGCGAGGAACGGGGGGAACTCTAGGCAAGGCTGGCAAGCGAGCAGTCAGTGTGACGGTCACAGTCACAGTCACAGAGAGCACTCAAGCAAGCAAGGCCAGAGCAGCAACAACTCACCGCAAGAAACTGCTGCTCCTCCTCGTATCCGACTCGGACCGTGGCCCTTCGCTTGCTCTCCTCGGTGGTGAGCTCTGTGAGGATGGCCCGCCGGTGCTCCTCCATCGCCTCCAAGAGCTCGCGCTCCACCGCCTCCCGCTCCCCCACCTCGCCCCTCAGCGCTTCAGGCGCCTGCATGCGCCGCTCCGCTATCACCTCCACCAGCGCCTCCTCCTCCTTCAGCTGGCGGCGTGGGGGGAGGGGAGGGGGAGAGGACAAGGGGAAGAGCGAGGGGAGAGCGAGGGGAGAGCGAGGGGAGAGCGAGGGGAGAGAGAGGGGAGAGAGAGGGGAGAGCGAGGGAAGTGTTGAAAGTTGACTCAAAATAACAAGTACCAACGCTGCTCTGCTATTACCGCCACCAGCGCCTCCTCCTCCTTCAGCTGGGGGGGGAAAGAGGGGGGGAAGGAGAGGGGTGGGTGGGCTTTTGAGTCGACTCAAAGGCTCCTCGCCCCTCAGCGCACCAGGCGCCTGCATGCGCCGCTCCGCTATCACCGCCACCAGCGCCTCCTCCTCCTTCAACTGGTGTGGGAAGAGGGGAAGAGCGAGGGAACAGTTGCAAGTTGACCCAAACGACAAATATTACCACCTCTCTGCGGTCACCTCCACCAGCGTCTCCTCCTCCATCTACTCTCGATCAAAACGCACCCGTTCCACCCACTCACCGCCTCCTGCACCCGATCCTCCTGCAGCAAGCTGTACACCGAGAATCCCACACCTCCCCGCTCCCCTTTTTGAGATGTCTCAAAACGCAACCCTTCAGCCCACTCACCGTCGCCTGCACTCTGTCCTGCTGCAGCAAGCTGTACACCGAGAATCCCACACCTCCCCGCTCCCCTTTTTGAGATGTCTCAAAACGCACCCCTTCAGCCCACTCACCGTCGCCTGCACTCTGTCCTGCTGCAGCAAGCTGTACACCGAGAATCCCACACCTCCCCACTCCCCTTTTTGAGACGTCTCAAAACGCACCCCTTCAGCCCGCTCACCGTCCCCTGCACTCTGTCCTGCTGCAGCAAGCTGTACACTGAGAAGTCCCCCCCGCTGCCCCCACCTTGAAATGCTCTACAGTCACCCCAACCAGTGGCACCTCCCCCTATGACTCACCGCTTCCTGTACTCTGTCCTGCTGCAGCAAGCTGTACACTGAGAAGTCCCCCACGCTGCCCCCACCGCCCGGCCTCCTCTCGGCAATGGACGCCACGAGCACGGACTTGGCCCTGTCCACCACCTCGCGTATCAGCTGTGATGCTATGTGCTGCCGCGCCCCTGCCTCCCTCCCTGCCTCCCGCGCAGCCAGCCGGTCCCGAGCCTGCTGCTCCAGCTTCTCCCGAGCCTGAACCAGAGCCCTGGAGGGGGGAGGATGAGGTAGAGGGGGATACGCAAGAGGGCAGTGAGCAGGAGGGAGCGGAGAGTGGAGGGGAAGGAGTGGAGAAGAGAACACTGAGTTGCTAACAAGGTGAATAATAGGGGGGGAATGCTGGGCAGTCTAGTGCTGAGCAGTCTAGCGCTGCGGTGGGGGGGGAGAGGGCGGGGGGGGAGGGCGGAGGGGAGTGCGGGGCGCAGATGCTGCATGGCTGCAACAGCAAGCAACAAAAAGAAGCTGGAACAAGATATGCCAAGGCATGCGCATGCCTCTGTTGGCACAACTCCTCCTTGCAGCAACTCACCAGAGGAAGAGGTGCAGGTGGTTTCTGAGGGAGGTGGTATCCGCGATTGAGTGCAACAGCGCAGGCAGGATCAGCGCGAACTGTTGCATGCACTGCGAGGTCGCCTCCAGCTCAGCGTCATACAGATAAAACAGCACCAAGCGGAACGCCACGTGCAGACAGTGCTCGTTCCTCTGCCTCGTTGCCTTATCTCCCGGCCCCGACGCGCCTCTCCCCCCGTCCCCTACCCCGCCCGCCGACCCCACCAGCGCGAGCCCCGTGCGGCTGATCCCAGCGAGGGAGAAGTAGCTCATTGCCTGCTGCTGCTGCTGCTCGAGTAGGGACTGGTTGTAGGCGGAGGCGGCGGGGTCCTGTGCGCCGGAGAGCACTGAGAAGGACGCCCACACGCGGTCGAAGAGGCGCCACCTCGCTGCTGCCTCGTCCGGGGGCAGCTCCGGCCGCTGGTACCGCTGCTGCGGGCGCTGTATGTCGGGGAACGTGCTCCTGGGGGGGCGGGGGGTGGGAGGGAGAGAGGTGGGGAATGGGGAAGGGCAGTGTGGGACGTGTTTTGAGATGGTGCTCCTTCAATGCCACTGCTGCCTCGTCCGGGGGTAGCTCTGGCCCCTGGTACCGCTGCTGTGGGCGCTGGATGTCGGGGAGCGTGCTCCTGAGGTGGGGGGGGGGGGTTGGGGGGTGGGAAGAGGGGGGAGGGAAGGGGGAAGGGAGGGGAGAGTGGGCGGCAGCTTTGGCTGGATGCTGGACGGAATATGCTCCTGTGTGCAGGCAGGGAGGGGAGTGAGTGGGAGCATGCAGGGCTGTGCTGCCGCCTCGTCAAGAGGCAGCTCTTTGACGACTATAAAAAATCTCCTGCGTGCGGGCGGGGAGAGCGGGGAGGGGAGGGAGCAGGATGGTGTCAGACGTGGGTCGACTGAGCGAGAATATCGCGAAACGATGTCATGGGACAACGTCGCCCAACGATGTCACAGGAGAATGTCACCGGACAATGTCGCGGAATGTGCTGCTCCCTCCTCACGCGGCAGCTCTGCCCGGTGGTGGCAGAGCTGAAGAGCGCTGACTGCCGGACGAGGGGGGGAGGGAGGGGGGAAGGGAGGGGGGGAGGGAGGGAGGGAGGGGGGGGGGGAGGGAGGGAGGGAGGGAGGGAGGGAGGGAGGGAGGGAGGGAGGGAGGGAGGGGGGGGGGGGGGAGGAGGGAGGGAGAGGGAGGGAGGGAGGGAGGGAGGGAGGGAGGGAGGGAGGGAGGGAGGGAGGGAGGGAGGGAGGGAGGGAGGGAGGGGGAAGAAAGTCAAGGAGATGGCAGCCAGGTGAGGTGAGGCGAAGCGAAGCAAAGAGAGACAGAGAGGGGACTTGTGATGAGAGGGTCACCTGAGAGGCTGGGAGGATCCGAGGTCCACATAGCCCCCTGACAGCGCCTCCTCCTCCATCAACTCGTCCTGCCGCCATGCACACATGCACACACACAGACAAACATGCACACACACAGACACACATGCACACACACAGACACACATGCACACATGCACACACACACGCACACATGCACAGACGGAAAAGGGGGGGTGGGTGGGGAGATGTTCAAAGGTTGGGTGGTGGAGAGATGAGGAAGGAACGAGGACAGGTTGGTTGAGAATGTGGAAAGGACTATACAGTGGCAAATCCACAGTGCAGGGACGCACCTCAGAGACCACCCAGCTCCAGCCGCTCACCCATACAGCGGACCCACCCTCAGTCCCACCAAACCCATCTGCACCGCAACCACACCCAGCAACACAACATCACCGCACTGAACCGGGGCCACACCTGGAAGAGTTGGCGGGAGTCGTCGACGGTGCAGTCGTCGAGCAGGTTGACGAGGAGGGAGAAGTTGTCGCGCAGCGGCACGGCGCTCATCGTGTCTTCCGACGGGCACAGCACGCACAGCGCCTCAAACACGTCCGCCAGCACCCGCTTCGTCCACACCGACGCCTGGGGGGAAGGGGGAGGGGGAGGTTGGGGGGAGGGGGGAGATTTTGCACGGGGGCTGGATGGTTAGAGGCAGGAGAGGCATGCGAGAGGGGAGATGAGAGGAGAGAAGCGCAAGTGGTGTAACTAGCAACTCCAGTTCAGAAGGAAGCGTTTAGTGTTTAAAGGTTTCGGGTTTAGAGACGAGCCTACCTGGTCGGGACACAGCAGCCGGATGTACGTGATGGTGGTGGTGATGTGCTCCACGGTGACGTTTGAGCTGTCTCAGTCGTCACTTTAGGCTACCTGGTCAGGACACAGTACGTGTAATATGCTCTGTGGTGACGTTTGAGCTGACTCAGAGGTCACTTCAGCCTACCTGGTCGGGACAGAGCAGCTGGATGTACGTGATGGTTGTAGTAATATGCTCCGCGCCATTCCTGAGATGGATGAGCGCGTACGCATGCAGGCACGCAAACAGCTGCCAGATCAGCTGCTCCTCCTCACCCTCGCCCTCCATCTCCTCCTCATCCTCCATCATCCCCCCCTCGTACTCATCCAACTCCAAGTCCTCCTCCAGAATCGCCCCCGCCTCGTCGCCCTCCCCGCCCATCCCCATCCCGTCCCGCTGCCCGCTCGTCACGGCGAGCAGGACCATGAGCAGCCAGTCCTGCCACCCCACTTGTTGCAGAAACAAACTCATATTGGCATCGTCCGAGTCCAGCAGAACGAGGAGATCTCTGAGGACCGCGGTTCTAAGGTCGGGCGTGCAGGCGCGCAGCAGGCGCAGCACCACGCGCAGCACCTGGGGTACCACCATGGTGGCCACCACCCCGCTGCTGCTCCCCCCGGCTTCGAGAAGGGCCGTGCCAGCTGAGTCTCGGAGTCCCTCCTGGAAGCGGCCCAGCCCGCTCTTGTATAGGTTGGACCACTTGCGCATGGCCTGGAGGTTGGGGGAAGAGGAGAGGAGGGAGGGGTGGGGGTGGAATGGGGTTGGGGGGGTGTCTGTTGGGGTACCACCATGGTGGCCACCACCCAGCTGCTGCTCCCCCTGGCTTCGAGCACGGCTGACCCGGCTGAGTCCCGGAGCCCTTACTGGAAGCGCCCCAGCCCGCTCTTGTATAGGTTGGACCACTTGCGCATGGCCTGGGGGGATTCACAAAGGGGAAGGGGGAAGGGATGGGGGGGGGGGTGTTGGGGATGGGAGGAGCCGGGAAGGGGAGGGGTGGGAAGTCGGTAAGTGGAGGACGGGGAGGAGGAGGAGAAAGAGGATGTTTTTGAGAATTCTCAAAAAAACCCTGCAAAAACGGAAGACGGTAAGTGGAGGACGGGGAGGAGGAGGAGAAAGAGGATGTTTTTGAGAATTCTCAAAAAAAACCCTGCAAAAACGGAAGACGGTAAGTGGAGGACGGGGAGGAGGAGGAGAAAGAGGATGTTTTTGAGAATTCTCAAAAAAACCCTGCAAAAACGGAAGACGGTAAGTGGAGGACGGGGAGGAGGAGGAGAAAGAGGATGTTTTTGAGAATTCTCAAAAAAACCCTGCAAAAACGGAAGACGGTAAGTGGAGGACGGGGAGGAGGAGGAGAAAGAGGATGTTTTTGAGAATTCTCAAAAAAACCCTGCAAAAACGGAAGACGGTAAGTGGAGGACGGGGAGGAGGAGGAGAAAGAGGATGTTTTTGAGAATTCTCAAAAAAACCCTGCAAAAACGGAAGACGGTAAGTGGAGGACGGGGAGGAGGAGGAGAAAGAGGATGTTTTTGAGAATTCTCAAAAAAACCCTGCAAAAACGGAAGACGGTAAGTGGAGGACGGGGAGGAGGAGAAAGAGGATGTTTTTGAGAATTCTCAAAAAAACCCTGCAAAAACGGAAGACGGTAAGTGGAGGACGGGGAGGAGGAGGAGAAAGAGGATGTTTTTGAGAATTCTCAAAAAAAACCCTGCAAAAACGGAAGACGGTAAGTGGAGGACGGGGAGGAGGAGGAGAAAGAGGATGTTTTTGAGAATTCTCAAAAAAACCCTGCAAAAACGGAAGACGGTAAGTGGAGGACGGGGAGGAGGAGGAGAAAGAGGATGTTTTTGAGAATTCTCAAAAAAACCCTGCAAAAACGGAAGACGGTAAGTGGAGGACGGGGAGGAGGAGGAGAAAGAGGATGTTTTTTAGAATTCTCAAAAAAACCCTGCAAAAACGGAAGACGGTAAGTGGAGGACGGGGAGGAGGAGGAGAAAGAGGATGTTTTTGAGAATTCTCAAAAAAACCCTGCAAAAACGGAAGACGGTAAGTGGAGGACGGGGAGGAGGAGGAGAAAGAGGATGTTTTTGAGAATTCTCAAAAAAACCCTGCAAAAACGGAAGACGGTAAGTGGAGGACGGGGAGGAGGAGGAGAAAGAGGATGTTTTTGAGAATTCTCAAAAAAACCCTGCAAAAACGGAAGACGGTAAGTGGAGGACGGGGAGGAGGAGGAGAAAGAGGATGTTTTTGAGAATTCTCAAAAAAAACCCTGCAAAAACGGAAGACGGTAAGTGGAGGACGGGGAGGAGGAGGAGAAAGAGGATGTTTTGAGAATTCTCAAAAAAACCCTGCAAAAACGGAAGACGGTAAGTGGAGGACGGGGAGGAGGAGGAGAAAGAGGATGTTTTTGAGAATTCTCAAAAAAACCCTGCAAAAACGGAAGACGGTAAGTGGAGGACGGGGAGGAGGAGGAGAAAGAGGGATATCGAGAGAGCAACTCTAGAAGAGTCTATTTTTTAGGCGCCTCAAAAATAGAATCCTCACGCATGGATATGGAGAGCGCAACTGTAGGAGAGCAGGCAGGTGACGGGGAGACTCTAACAAAACGGAACGAACCAGGTGATGGGTAATCCAGGGGGAATCAACATGGGGAGTTAATGCAAATGTGTGAACCGAACCGACTGACCTCCTTGGATTGGAGATAGCTCCCCCAACCCAAGCAGCACGTCCTTGTGAGAGAAGTTTTATGATTCTCAGAAATCTCCCTCACAAGGAGGGGAGGGGGCGCGCGAATGCATGAACCGAACCGACTGACCTCCTTGGAGCTGGCTCCCCCAAGCAGCACGTCGAACAGCGC